CCATTTTGTTTGTTTTCTTATTTATGTATGTGCTTTATGAAGACTCCATTGAGAAATCGTTATTTTAAAATATGGATCAGAGACATCATCAAAGATGGCTGACTAGACATGCCCAGTGCTTGTTGCCTCCACAAAGAAAGACCAAAACAAATTAGCCAGGCATGGTGTCATGTACCTGTAATCTCAGCTACTTGGAAAGCTGAGGCAGTAAAATCTCTGGAACCTGGAAGGCAGAGGTTGCAGTGAGCCGAGATCATGCCATTGCACTCCAGCCTGTGAGATAGAGGGAGACTCCATCTCAAAAAAAAAAAAAAAAAGACCAAAACAACAAATAAATAACTGCACTTTAAGTAGAGTGTCTAAGGGAGAATCATGGAATTCATCAAGGAAGTCATAAAAAAAAAACTGAAACACAGAAACTTGGGATGGTAGAAGCACAGAGAGAGAAAGAAAGCACTCAGCCAGGATTGACTCAGAGTCAGGAGGAACTCCCTGTTGCACAAAGGTAAGTGAGAGATACCCAGCAGTTCTCATTACCAACATGAATGGCTGAAATCCTAGCTACAGGAGAGCACCACAGTCCTCACAGTACCTGAGCCCAGCAGAAGGAGCTACCTGGAGTCCATCAGGCTGTGCTGCTTTAAGAAGGAACTCAGGCTAGGTCCCTCCCATTCCCTGAGACCCCAGGTGCCATTTTGAGAACAGACCTATGCTAGACTGCTTCATGTCTTGGGGCCCAATAGCCCTGCATCTCCACATTCCTGTGTCCCACTGTTATCCCACCACGCTCACACACGTGTGGTTGTGGTGTTACAACCACAGCTAGACACAGTGGTATAGTCTGTGGTATGTCTGCCACCTGACACAGCTAGACACAGTGGTATGTCTGCCACAGCTAGACACAGTGATATGTCTGCCACCTGAACCCATGCAGTGCCCAACACCACAGGGAACAGGAGGTCTAGCACAGCTGGGAGGCCACCCCGGAGATGCAGGGAGCCAATACGTGTGCTCCTCAGGACCTGAGAACCAGCTTCCTGGTGATTCCACACCCTCAACAGAGACCACCATCCTTGGCACCTGCCACCACCAGCAACCCTGACCCTTTGACTGGCAGAGCAGAACTGTCTAGCGAATAGGTACTATGCTACCCAGCACCAGCCATTGCTGGCAACATCACCCCCTATGACCAGCGGAGCTGCCACACCTAGTGTATATCCCCCTAAATTCTGAGAACTAGCTTGCCCAGCAGCCCTCATCTCCAGCAAAAACACACCACTGCCACCACAAACATCTGCAATCTAGGCCAATGAGACCACACACCACTGACCTTGATTACAGAAGTGGAAATCATATGGAGACAATGCTACTGCACTAACCAGAACAAAAGCCAAAGGGAGGAATGGGGGTTGTGATAACACAGTTCGAACACTGGATTCAGGTCTACAGAAAGCCAGAAGTAACCCAGGTACAGTAGTAACATTAGCTGATAAATTCTCTTTTTGTTTTTGTTTATGTCAGTTTGAGTCTCTATGTCTCTCTCATGTCTTTCTCACTCACAGCCAACACTATAGGACATATCTACGGGAAAAAGTCTTTCCCTCTGGAAGCTACTCCTGCAAATTAGAAGAGGTGACTATTCCACCAGATGCACAGATAGCAACATAAGGACACAAGAAACACAAAGAAGCAAAAACAAAACAAAACAAAAAAAGCACACAGACAGACAAAACACAACACTTCCAAAAGAACATAATTCTCCTGTTACAGACCCTAAAGAAAAGAAAATCTATGAAATGCATAGTAAGAACTTGCAAATAATGATATTAAGGAAACTCAATAAGATACAAGAGAATACAGAAGGACAATTCAACAAAATCAGAAAAACAATTCCTAAACTGAATGAGAAATTCAACAAAAATAGAGATATCATTAAAAAGAATCAAATTTTGAAACTGATGAATTCAATGGATAAAATGAAAAATACAATCCAAAGCTTCAACAGACTAGATCAAGCAAAAAAATTTTAGAACTTAAAGATAGTCTTCTGAAGTAGCCCAGTCAGAAAAAAGGAAATAAAGAAAAAGAGAAGAAAAAAGAATGAAGCAAGCCTATGGGGCTTAAGGGATACCATTAAGCAAATTAATATTTGCAGTACAGGAATTACCAAAGAAGAGATGGAAACAGGCATAGAAGACCTGTTTAATAAAATAATAGCTGAAAAATTCTCAAGTCATGGGAGGGAAATGGACATCCACAACCAGGAAATGCAATAGTCTCTAAAGAGATTCAACTTCTTAAAGGTTCTCTCTAAGGTATATTACACTTAAACTGCCAAAAGTCAAAGAAAAGAAAGAATACTAAAAACAGCAAGGGCAATGTGGTAAGTCAAATATAAGGGGCTCTCTATTAGACTAACAACAGATTTGTCAGCAGAAACCTTATAGGATAGAAGAGAATGGGATGATATATTCAAAATACTGAAAGAAAAAAAAACTGCCATGTAAGAATATTATACCCAGCAAACCTATCCTTTAGAAATGAAGAAACGGCTGGGTGCGGTGGCTCACGCCTATAATCCCAGCACTTTGGGAGGCTGAGGCGGGTGGATCACGAGGTCAAGAGATCGAGACCATCCTAGTCAACAAGGTGAAACCCCATCTCTATTAAAAATACAAAAATTAGCTGGGCATGGTGGTACGTGCCTGTAGTCCCAGCTACTTGGGATGCTGAGGCAGGAGAATTGCTTGAACCCAGAAGGCGGAGGTTGTAGTGAGCCGAGATTGCACCATTACACTCCAGTCTGGGTAACAACAGTGAAACTTCGTCTCAAAAAAAAAAAAGAAAGAAAGAAAGAAATGAAGAAATGAAGTCTTTCCCAGACAAGCAAAAACTGAGGGAATTCATCACCACTAGATAGGCTTTAGAAGAAATAGGTATGGGAGGCCTATATCTGGAAGTCAAAGGACGATAACTACCATGACAAAAACATAAAAGTATAAAACTCATTGTAGAGCAGGTATTCAAAACAACCAGAGCACAAATCACAAAATGACAAGAGTACATCTTCACCTATCAATAATAACCCTGAGTGTAAATGGATTAAATTCCCCAATTAAAAGGTATAGACCAGCTGAATGCATTTTTTTTTTAAAGAACCCAACTATACCCTGCTTATGAGAAACTCACTTCACCTAAAAGGATATACAGAGACTGAAAGTGAAGAGATAAAAAAAGGTAATCTACAGAAATGAAAACAAAAAGGGATGAGAACTAGCTATACTTAAATCAGATAAAATAGGCTTTAAGTAAAAAACTGTTAGAAAAAAATGGTATTGGTTTGACTTCATGTCCCCACTCAAATTTCATGTTGAATTGTAATTCCCGATGCTGGAGGTGAGGCCTGGTGGGAGGTAATAGGATCATGGGAGTGGTTTCTAATGGTTTAGCACCATCCCACTAATGCTGTTTCATGACAGAGTGCTCAAGAAATCTGGTTGGTTAAAAGTTTGTAGCACCTCCTCCTTAGCTCTTTTCCTCCTTCTCTAGCCACACAAGATGTGACTCCTTCCTCTTTGCCCTCTGCCATGATTGTAAGTTTCTCGCAGCCCCCCAAACCATGCATCCTCTTTAGCCTGCAGAACTGTAAGTCAATTAAACCTCTTTTCTTTATAAATTACCCAGTCTCAGGTAGTTCTTTATAGCAATGTGATAATGGACTAATATAGATGATCATTACATAATGAAAATAGATCAATAGAGCAAGAAGATATAACAATTTTAAATATATATAGTATCCAACACTGGAATGCCCAGATATATAAACCAAATATTATTAGACCTCAGGAGAGTAATACATTCCAATATAATAATTGTTGCAGACTTCAGCATCCCACTCTCATCATTGAACAGATCATCTAGATAGAAAACCAACAAAGAAACATCAGATTTAGTCAAGATCAGCCTGGCCAACATGGCAAAACCCTGTCTCTGCTAAAAATACAAAAATTACCTGGGCATGGTGCTACGTGCCTTTAGTCCCATGGTACTGTGTGCCTTTACTCAGGAGGCTGAGGCAGGAGAACTGCTTGAACCCAGGAGGCAGAGGTTGCAGTGGACTGAAATTGCACCACTGCACTCCAGCCTGGACAACAGAATGAGAATCTGTCACACACATACAAAGTGAAATGTCAGATTTAATTTGCAATATCAGCACATCGAACATTCTCCAGGATAGACTACATGTTAGAATACAAAACAAGTCTCAACTAATTTTAAAATATTGATATCATATCAAGTATCTTTTCTGACCACAGTGAGCTAAAACTAGAGATTAAGAACAAGAGGAATTTTGTAAATGGTACAGATACACAGAATTTAAACAACATGCTCCTGAAAAACCAATTGGTCAATGAATCAATTAAGACAGAGAATTAGGGCACACATGGTGGCTCACACCTGTAATCCCAGCACTTTGGGAGGCTGAGGTAGGTAGATCACTTGATGTCAGGAATTTGAGACCAGCCTGGCCAGCATGGTGAAACCTCGTCCTAATCAAAAATACAAAAACTAGCCAGGCGTGGTGGCACTTGCCTGTAATCCCAGCTACTTGGGAGGCTGAGGCAGGAGAATCGCTTGAACCTGGGAGGTGGAGGTTGCAGTGAGCCGAGATTGCACCACTGCACTCCAGCCTGGGTGACAGAGCAAGACTCTGTCTCCATAAAAAAAAAAAAAAAAGAAAGAAAGAAAAGAAATGTTTGAGACAAATGAAAACAGAAATACAACATACCAAAATCTATGGAATATGGCAGAAGTAGTACTAAAGGAAGGTTTATAGCAATAAATGCCTACATTGAAGTATAAAGATTTAAAATAACCTATTGATGCACCTCAAGGAACTAGAAAAATGAAAACAAACTGAACCTAAAATTAGTAGAAGAAAAGAAATAATAAAGATCTGAGAGTAGAGATAAATAAAATAAACACTACCTTCTCCCACAATTCCTCGTGCTCTTTCTTTCCAACTCGGCCCGACAGAATGGCTCCCGCAAAGAAGGATGGTGAGAAGAAAAAGGGCCGTTCTGCCATCAACGAGATGGCGACCCGAGAATACACCAACATTCACAAGCGCATCCATGGAGTGGGCTTCAGGAAGCGTGCCCCTTGGGCACTCAGAGAGATTCAGAAATTTGCTATGAAGGAGATGGGAACTCCAGGTGTGCGCATTGATACCAGGCTCAACAAAGCTGTCTGGGCCAAAGGAATAAGGAATGTCCCATACCGAATCCGTGTACGGTTGTCCAGAAAACGTAATGAGGATGAAGAGTCACCAAATAAGCTCTATATTTTGGTTACCTATGTACCTTTTAGCCCTTTCGAAAATCTACAGACAGTCAATGTGGATGAGAACTAATCGCTGATCATCAAATACATCAAATAAACTTATAAAAATAAAATAAAGACTAAAAAAGGACAAAAGATCAATGAAATAAAGTTTGTTTTTTGAAAAGATAAACTAAATCAACAAACCATTAACTACAATAGCTAAATGAAAAAGAGAGAAGACCCAAATAAATAAAATCATAAATAAAAAGGAGACATTACAACTGATCCCAAAGAATAAAAAGGATTATTAGAGACTATTATGAGCAACTATACACTAACAAATTGGAAAATCTAGAGGAAATAGATAAATTCCTGGATACATGCAACCTACCAAGATTCAACTGGGGGCTGGGAGCAGTGGCTAATTCCTGTAATCCCAGCACTTTGAGAGGCTGAGGTGGGCAGACTAGTTGAGGTCAGGAGTTCAAGACCAGCTGGCCAACATGGTGAAACCCCATCTCTACTAAAAATACAAAAATTAGTCGGGTGTGGTGGCACATGCCTATAGTCCCAGCTACTTGGGAGGCTGAGGCAGGAGAATCACTTGAACCCAGGAGGTGGAGGTTGCTGTGAGTCAAGATGGCGCCACTGCATTCCAACCTGGGTGACAGAGTGAGACTCCATCTCAAAAATAAATAAATAAAAGATTTAACTGGGAAGAAACAAACAGAAAGCCTCAACAAGTCAATAATGAGTAACAAGACTGAATTAGTAAGAAAAAGTCTCCCAAAAAAGACACACCTAGGACTGGATGGTTTCACTGTCACATTCTACCAAATTTTTAAAGAAAAAATAACACCAATTTTTCTTAAATTTTTCAAAAACACTGAAGGAGGGGAATTATTTCAGACTCATTGTATGAGACCAGCATCACCCTGGTACCAAAATTAGATGAAGACACAACAAAAAAGAAAACTACAGGTCAATAATATTGATGAACATAAGTGCAAAAATCTTCAACAAAATATAAGCACACTGAATCCAATAGAAAATCAACAAGATTATACACCAGCATCAAAAGTAAGATTAATCCCAGGGATGCAAGGATGATTCAACATATACAAACGCATAAACATGATACATCACATCAATAGAATGAAGAATAAAAACCATATGATCATCTCAACAGATAGAGAAAAATCACTTGACAAAATTCAACATCCCAACTAAGTGGGGTGGCTCACACCTGTAATACCAACACTTCAGGAGGCTGGGGTGGGTGGATCACAAGGTCAGGAGATTGAGACCATCCTGGCTAACATGGTGAAATCCCATCTCTACTAAAAATACAAAAAATTAGGCGGGTGTGGTGGTGTGCACCTGTAGTCCCAGCTACTTGGAAGGCTGAGGCAGGAGAATTGCTTGAACCCAGGAGGCAGAGGTTGCAGTGAGCTGAGATCGCACCACTGCGCTCCAGTCTGGGTGACAAAGCAAGACTACATCTCAAAAAAAAGAACATTTCAACATTACTTCATGATAAAACTCTCAGTGAATTAGTTACATACCTCAACACAATAAAGGCCATATGTGACTAATCTACAGCTAACATTATACTGAATGGGGAAAAGCTGAAAGCTTTTTCTCTAAACGGGAACAAGACAAGTGGATGCTCATTTTCACCACTCTTATTCCACACAGTACTGGAAGTCCTACCCAGAGCTGTTAGACAAGAGAAAGAAATAAAGGGCATCTAAATTGGAAAGAAAGAAATTGTCCTTGTTTGTACATGACATAATCTTATATTCAGAAAAACCTAAAGTCTCTACCAAAAAACTCTTAGTCCTGACAAACAAATGTAGTAAAGTTTTTCAGGCCTAAGAGTGTTTTGGTGGAGGCTGTAGGTGTTTAGGGTATGAAATCAACATCTAACATTTTGAAAAATTAGTAATGTTTCTATACACCAATAATGAATGAGCTGAAAACTAAATCAAGAATGCAATCCCATTTACAATCACTACAAATCATATAAAATACATAGGAATCAATTTAACCAAAAAACTGAAAAATCTGTATAAGAAAAACTGTAAGACACTCACAAAAGAAATAGAAGAGAATGCAAAAAAAAAAAAGGAAAGATATTTCATGCTCATGGATTGGAAGAACTAATATTGTCAATGTGATAATTCTACTCAAAGCAATTTACATATTCAATGCAATCCCAATCAACATACCAATGACATTCTTCACAAAAAATTTTAAAAATTCTCAAATTTCTGGAAGCAGAAAAGCCCCAAAATAACCAAAGCAATCCTGAGCAAAAAGAACAAAGCTGTAGGCATCACACTATCTGACTTCAAAATATAATACAGAGTCATAGTAACAACATTTGCATAGTATTGGCATAAAACAGACATATACACCAGTGGAATATAATAGAGAAACTGGATATAAATCCATGCATTTATAGCCAACCTATTCTTGACAACGATACCAATAACATCTGATGGGAAAAGGACACTTTCTTTAATAAATGGTGCTGAGGAAACTGGATAACCATATGCAGAAGAATGAAACTAAGCCCCCATCTCTCACAGTATACAAAAATCAGATCAAAATGAATTGAAGCTTTATATCTACGACCTGAAACTATGAAACAAATTAGTATAGAAAAACACTGGGGAAATGCTCCAGGATATGGGTTTGGGCAATGATTTTTTTGTGTAAGACTTTAAAAGCACAGGCAAGAAGAGCAAAAATAAATAAGATTTTATCAATCTAAATGACTTCTGCACAGCCATGGAAACAATCAACAGATTGAAAAGATAACCTGTAGAATGGGAGAAAATATTTCCAAATTAGCCATCTGTCAAATGATTAATGTTCAGAATATACAAGGAACTCAGCAGCAATTAACCAATCTCATTTTAAAATGGGCAAATGATCTGAACAGAAATTTCTCCAAAGAAGATACACAAATGGTCAAGTATCTAAAGAAATGCTCAACATCACTAATAATCAGGGAAATGGAAATCAAAATTACAATGAGATAGTATCTCACCCCAGTTAGAATGGCTACTGTAAAAAAGACAAAAGACAACAAATGCTGGCGAGGATTCAGAGAAAAGGGAATTCTCATACACTATTTGTGGAAATGTAAATTAGTACAGCCATTATGGAAAACAGCATGGATGTTCTTAAAAAAAAAAAAGGAACTACTGTATGATCCAGCAATTTTACTCCTGGGTACACACACAAAGGAAAGGAAACCAGTGTGTTGAGGAGGTATCTGTACTCCCATGTTTATTGCAATATTATTCACAATAGCTGAGATGTGGAATCAACCTAATCATCCAAAATGAGATTAATAGTTAAAGAAAATGAAGTATATTGGAAAAATGGAACACCATTCAGTCATAAAACAATAAAATCCTGTCATTTGCAGCTACATAGATGAGTCTGTCAGACATTGTGTTAAGGGAAATAAGCCAGGTACAGAAAGATAAAAACTGCATGTTCTCGCTCATATGTGGAACTAAAAAAGTTGATCTCACAGGAGTAGAGTGGAAGAGAGGTTACTAGAGGCAGGAAAGTGTAGGAGAGAGAGGGAATAGGGAGAGGTTGGTTAATGAATACAGAAGAATTATAGCTAGATTAGAATACGTTCCCCTGTTCAATAGCACTGTAGGGTGTCTGGAGTTAACAATAGCTTATATATTTTCAAATAGCTAAAAGAGAGGATTTGAATGTTCCCAACCCAAATAAATAAAAATGTTTGAGGCGATGGATATGCTAATTACCTTAATTTGGTTATTACATATTGTATACATGTATCGAAATGTCACAGTGTATCCCATAAATATGTACAATTATCATGTGCCAATTAAAAGAATAATTAATAGTAATAAAATCCTGGGACCCTGTTTGACCAACAGAGGCAAGTTTCTGGAAATGGATGTTAGATGACATTCAATCAGAAATTTCAGCTGAGACGCCTGGATAAATAAACAGCAGATAACAAAGTGAGCATGCAATAATAGGGAGAGGCAGATATTCCAAGGCAATATCTGAGAACTCGTTTGGTGACTCTTGGATTCACACTCAGGGCAGAAACATGGTAGATACATTGGAGACTGAGAGAGGAATTCGTGAAGAGAATTTCCTTGGAGCCTGATTCCCACCTGCAAAAGCAACCTAACTGTTTGAATCCAGTGGGTTCCAACCATAAAGGGAGGGAGAAGGGATCTCAGGGTGAGCTGATCAGGGCAACACTTACACGAGTGTGTTTCTCATGCACCAGAGCCATATCTGGAGAAAGAGCCAATCTGGGGCAATTTAAAAAATATAAACTTTTGAAATGCGTAAGTGCACAATGCGATTAAAAGATTATAAAGCAAACTCACATAATGACCCAGCAGATGAAGACGGAGATCACCACACTCAAGGAGCTTCCCTCACGCTTTGCCAGATCCCTACACCATTTCCCCAATAATACCGCTATCTTGTCTTCTAATAACACAGTTGGTTTGGCTTGTTTTAAATCTCTAAATTCGTACAGCAGACACTCTTTTGTGTCTGACTTAGTGCCCTTGTACGGTGCTTTTGAGACTCATTCATGTCATTGTATTATATTTGAATTTTTTTAAATTTCTGAGTAGTATTCAATGGAATACTACTCAGAAATAAAAAAAAAAACCTACAAATTCCAGGAATATGCCACAATTTGTTGATCCATTCTACTGCTGAATGAAATTTGGATTATTTCCAGTTTTTTGCAATTATATATAAAGTTTCTGTGGATATTCTTTTTCATGTCTTTTAGTGCACAGATGTGGGGTAAATTCCTAGAAAAAAATTGTTGAGTCATATGGTATACATATATGTAATTTTGGTAGATGCTGACAATCTTTCAAATTGTTATAAAAGCCAGGTGCCTCACACTTTGGGAGGCTGAGATGGGAGGATTGCTTGAGCCCAGGAGTTTGAGATTAGCCTGGGCAACATAGCGAGACCTTGACTCAGGAAAAAAAAGAAAGAAAAGAAAGAAAAAGAAAAGAAGCTTAAAAAGAAACCCATTTGGAGGTAAACCCA